AAAAAAAAAAAAAAAAAAAACTAAAGAAAACTTAAATATGAAGAGAGAAACCATATTTATGAATAGTTAAGATGCCTGTTCTCCCCAAATTGACCTATTGATCCCAGTCAAAATTCCAGCAGACTTTTCAAAGCAGAAATTGACAAGCTGATTCTAAAACTTATGTTGAAATGCAAAGGACCTACAATAGCCAGAACAATTTTGAAAAACAAAAGCAAAAAGAAAAAAATCAGAGGACTCACGCTACCTGATTTCAAGACTTTAAGCTACAGTAATCAAGACAGTGAGGTATTGGCAAAAAGACAGACATAGATCAGTGGAACAGAGTAGAGTCCAGAAGTATATCTTTAGTGATATCTAGATATCCATATATAGTCCGTCCATATATATATATGGTCAGTTGCTTTTTGACAGAGATGCCAAGGCAATTCAGTGGGGAAAGGAAATTTTTCAACGTAAGGTGCTGAAACAACTGGATATCCGTACGGGAAGAAAATGAACCTCTACCTCACAAAACACAAAAATTAATTTGAGATGGATCATAGATTTCAACATAAATGCTAAAACTATAAAGCTCCTAGAAGAAAACGTAGGAGAATATCTTTTTTTTTTCTTGATGTCTTAATAGTTGATGACGTGAAATTTTGGTTGTACATTTTTGTATATCTTTTTTGACATTAGTATAATCTAAGATGTCTTAGAAAGGATGCAAAAAAGCACTAACTATAGGAGAAAAATGGATAAATTAGACTTCATCAAAATTAAAAACTTCTGTTCTTTGATAGACATAGTTGAGAAAATGAAAAAGCAAGCCACCAGCTGGGAAAGAATATTTTCAATACATTTATCTGACAGAGAACTTGTGTCCAGAATATGTAAAAATCTCTTACAATTCCCCAAGAAACAACTCAGTTTGAAAAAGTGGACAAAAAAGACTTGAATACACACTTCAAAAAAGATATATAAGTTGGCAATAAACACATGAAAATTGTTCAACATATTTGCCATCAGGAAAATGCATAGTAAAGCCATAACGAGGTAACATTTCACACCCACTAGAAAGGCTAAAATTAATAAGATTGACAATACCAAATGTTTGTATGTGGAGCAACTGGAATTCTCATAAATTGCTAGTAGGAGTGTGAAATGGTACAACCACTTTGGAAAACTGTATGGCAGTTTCTTATATAGTTAAACAAGCATCTACTCCATGACCCAGTAATTCCATTTTTATGGTATTTACCTAAGAAAATTGAAAGCACATGTCCATAAAAGACATAAATATGAATGTTAATTGCAGCATTATTCAAAATAGCCTCAAAATGGAAACAACCCAAATGTCCATCAATAGGAGAATGAATAAACAGATTATGGTATATTCACACAATGACTATTTCTAAGCAATAAAAAAAGAGTGAACTACTTATACATAATAACATGGATGAATCTCAGAAACAAAAACAAAGAAGCCAGACAAAAAAGAATACATACTCTTTGATTCTATTTATATGAAATTCAAGAATAAGCAAAGCTAATCTCTCCTGTTGAAATCAATATATTGGTTGCCAGGGTAGGGTGGAGCCACAAGGGAACTTTTTAGGGTAATAGAAATGTTCTGTGTCTTGACTGGGGTGGTCATAGATTTACGTATTTACCAAAACTCATCAAGTTGTACACCTAAAGCCCATGCACTTAACTTTTTCTAGATTTTACCTCAATTTTTTACAAAAGTATTTCAAAGCTTCTGTGCCTTCTGAGGCATAGATCACTATAGCACTTTGGCTCTCAAAGTATTGTGAGCACCATTGTTGTTTTCTGCTTTTTTTGTTGTTAAAAAACCATGCTGGGAGGCCAGCCTGGTGGTGTAATGGTTAAGTTCGCGTGCTCTGCTTCGGTGGCCCGGGGTTTGCTGGTTCGGATCCCGGGTGCCGACCTATGCACTGCTCATCAAGCCGTGTTTTGGTAGCATCCCACATATAAAATAGAGGAAGAAGGGCACAGATGTTAGCTCAGGGCTAATCTTCCTCAGCAAAAAGAGGAAGATTGTCAATGGATGTTAGCTCAGGGTCAGTCTTCCTCACCAAAAAACCGTGCTGGAATACCTAACATCTCACAACTGCCTTGGAAACTCTCACTTCACTAGAAGATTTATGTGTATAATTGGGTTCATGTGAGGTAAAGAATTGATATAAGGACATCAAGAGCATAACTTTATTTTTCTGAAGTTCCAGAAGGTGATTTTAAAAGGTTCTTTTTTCTGGAATGTATTTACAAAGTTATTGAAAACATGTTTTTTTAAAACAAATGTTTAAGAAAAGACTGACCATGTTAGTACTAGTGGGTCTTTTTTGGGCAGATGATGCAAGATTTTATGTTTGCTTAACACCCTTTCTAATCCTAATGTCCATGCCATTTTGAATTTTTTATTCTATTGTAGCTAAAGTTTGCACTCAAGACCTACTTTCCTTATGCTTCTCCATCTCTTGTCATGGTGCTACTCCAACACCCAAAAGGTACGTGAAGGTTGATTCTGCCTGTATTAAATAATTTCTGGGAAAAAGCACTGACAAATCATACCCTTTCCGTCCCAGTTCCTGATCTATAACCAGGGGAGATGGAATGGTCATCACTAATATCCCTTTAGCTCTCAGGGTCTCACATCCTGTGGATTTTGATGTGAGAATTTGCTTGACTTCCCAGTTATAATCACTTACCAAAAGAAAGAAAAAAGAAAAAAAATGCCTCTAGTTAGGTTTTGATAGTCTGTTCCAGATGATACAAGGCCTCTGTCATTGCCAGCGGATCTGCCTGGGTGCCAGGAACAGGCTAAGACTTGGGTGAGTTAGAATAAAACAGTACAATTATTTGTATTTCATTCTTTCTACTCTGTGCCCCTTGTTGCAGAAGAAAAGATAAAATGATGGATGAAGGCAAAGAAATTTAGGGGAAGTTTCTCCCAACCAAGCCAAGGGAAGGCTTTTGAAAGAATTCAGTGAGTGTGTTAGACCATGGCCTTCTCTGATTTCATCTGCCAGCCTCCCAAAGGCCATATCCAGTCAGGGAAGTGATGATTCCATCCTTCATTCAGCTGGTGCTGACCGTTAACATGCCTGCGAACTTGTGTTTAGGGAACATTTCAGAAATAGAGAATAAAGACATCCTTCTCCTGAAAGCCTGAAATCTGAAAAAGGGCACACTGACACAAGCACAGACTCTGCTGTAGAAGGCGGCATCTTATCTGACATGGAAGGAAAGAGAAGAGGAAAGAGGAAAATGACAGTAACAATAATAATAATATTTCCTTTTTATGCCATGTTTTGCCTGCCTTTTTCATGAGACTTGAGTAAGTAGATTAATTTGAGAAAAGCAGATGATTCAAAGTTTCAGAGTATTTTACAAAATCCAAATTCCTCTTCCTTTTTCCAAAAGACGTAGGTTCTCACCCAGAGGGACCCATCTGACACTGTCCTCTCAGACGCTGGAGGTGGAGGGGGTGATGGGCCTGGTGGGAGCTCTGCTCAACAGTGTTGCAAAACTTACCCTGTGGGAACACAACAGGAAAACTTTAATAAGACAGAAAAGTTAGTGATTCTTTCTAGGGATGCACCTCACAGCTGAAGTCAGATCAACAAAGACTAAGGTCAGCCCACGTGAGAAGCTGAGTGAGCTCCAGAAAAAGTATCGGAGTTGTTCTTTTTTAAGTTTGGAAATCCATAAACAGAAGACGAAGGTGGTCTATGGGCATGAACCCAGCCTGTTTACCTTTTCCTCTGTGTGATTGCCCTAGATTTATGTCCAAAAATAAATAAGTAAATTCAAGCAGAAGTACAAGAACCTCCTATGGTAGTTCCTAGAACAGTTTTCTGCATATTACTTTTGGAAAAAATGAATGTTATATTCACAAATTGCAGTGTTTTTTTAATAGTAGAATCTTCTATGCATCAGAAATAGATTTTGTGCTCACTGTAAAGTCCTGTGGGGTATAAAAGATGGATCATTTATGAGCCCTGACTATCCAGGAGCTACAAGGAGGGGGACATAAGTATCTAAACAGCTCGTACAAAGAAGAAAATGAAAATGCCCTCACAGGCTGCAGATCAAGAGTTCTGGGATTCCGGGGAGGGAGAGAGAAGACATGCTCTTTAATCTGTAACATTTGTGGAGCAGTAGTAGCCACTCTATCGCTTGCATTGTCTTCCTTATGTGTTTAATTATAGAATCTATCACTACATGGACATGTGGTAACCTTTTTCAGACGTAGTTCAGAACTGCAGATATATACATGCTCAGATATGTTTAAGACCACAGGATAATTGTGAAGCCAGAAAAACTAATTCCAGAAAAGACATTTGTTTGTATGATACCCATGTATTTTTATTTTTCTGGCCTTTTCTTTACTATATACCGGAAATCATATTCTGAATTCATAACAATCATAGAAAAACAGTTGGGTAGGCCATTCCTAATTCCTTGTTGACTGTTTTATTACAGTGTCCATGTATTTTGAAATCACAAATTATTAGTGATGGGGTAGGTAGGTAGCAAAGAAAAAAACCCAGGGCTTCTGCAACACAGCATTTCTAAATCCTCCGGGGGGCTGCCTGTGCAGTCTGTCTACTTCCATGGATCGGAGTCAAAGAGCCCTTGAAGTTAGTTCTGTGTAACACTGACAGATCCTTCTTCCCAGGCCTAAGAGATGGATACTGGCTGGGAACAGCATGAGAGCAATGGTATGGGTTCCATGGACCAGGAAAGGAAGGCCTTTTCCCCAAATCTCTTCTGGTCTTAGCTGCAGACGATTCCTGATAGGTTTGACTTTTCTTCAGCTCCCTCTGCTTTCTCTCTCCACCCACAGATATCCCACAGGGACTGTGGCACCAGTCACTGAAACATATTTCAGAAAAGCTCAGAGAGAGAGTTGAAGACCAGACTGACGGGTAAGCAAACACTGGCGACTCTTAGGTCTGCTTCTCACGTGGTTTCTCGGGATCCCTGTCTTCCCTTTGAGCAAGGCTGACAGGAGAGGCATTGTTGGTCTGTGACCATCCCTAAATAGGTAAGCACATTGCTGAGTGAGAAGTGGAGGAAGCACACGGCCGCGCACATCCCTTTGAGCAGCTCAGAATAAACAGCCGTGCATCTGTAAATACCTCATACAGATGTATTTACAGGAGGAAGGGCTGGTATTAGGTTTTGAAATATACAAGCATAACAGTGAAAAGAACAGACCCTAGAAAAAGAGCAGTGCCCACGTGCTGCAAACCCCCAGCCATGCAGGAGAAAGGTGCCTCTCTGGTCCTTTGGTTTTCTCTCTACTTCTCTACTCTCTAGGGAAGGAAATTCTAAACTTCTGCACAGTAGGATGAAATGTTTCTTTTTCCGTCTCTTTTTAATAAATATTTATCTAAAACTGAAAATCCATTCTAACATAAATTAATTTCTAACATATGGTATTAGGTACCCTCTTGTATGTGTTATTTTCCCAAAAGCATTGACATTTAGGCTCTGCTAAGTTCTGTGTAACATAACACCCTTCGGCTTCCTCTTAACTTGCTTGCTTTTAGTGTTTAAGTATTTTATTCATTGTCTGTACTAGCCTACTAAGACTGTCTTTATATGTTCCTTTTGCCACTCTTCCCTCTTGAAATTCTTTGTAATCTCATCACTGAGCCATCACAGATTATGGTTGGTGCTCTTATGTTTATGATCACTGATGTAGGTTTGGGTGCCAGTTACTCACTACTACCCCCCTCCCCTAAGATGCTTACCAATAGAAGAGACAAAAAGAACTGGCGGCCAAGTGGGAATCAGAATACTGGCCATATTAATGACTTTCCACACCTTGGCAGCTCCATCTGCACCTTTTCTGGTTGTCTGTGTTGAAGAGCAGGACCTAGACCCAAAACTTCACGGGAGTCCTACCTAACCTAGATCTGCCTGAACTAGACCTCGGGGTCTATCGGCAGGGAGGGTCTGGGAGCAGGTTTAGGCATTTTCTCAGCCAGCCACATGGGGCTGCCTTGCACACTCAGTTATTGGTAGAAAAGAAGGAGAATGGCCAGGCCCATCTCTGCCAGGCAGACCATGAGCTGTGATCCAGGGGTGATGCCCACTCAGGAGCAGGAAGCACGAGAGAGCCCTGCTGCTCAGCTGACTCATCCCTGAGGTCTGCAAGGAAGAGACGCCATGGAACCTGTTCCTTGCTTTTGGGACAAACCCAGCCCAACATCAACGTGGCCCGTGGAGCATTAGCTCTCCCTCCTTGGGGACAAATGAGTAAGATTAATACTCCCCTTCCTTCCTTTTTTCTCCCTTGTTCTGCAAGCTAGATTTCAGAACATTCCTTACATGTTCTCAGGGAGGGCCTGGACAGGAGGAAGCAGTGACCAGGGGAGCTGAGCACAGTGCTCAAGGGGATTCCATGGGCCACGCAGAGGAATACACACCCAGATCCAACAAAGACAGAGCACTGTAGAAGGGGGCCAGAACTTTCCTGTTCTGGGAGCTTTCCCAGTTCAGAAGGAAGGTTCTGATCTAGCTTGATCTCCGGCCAGTCGTCCATTTTCTCCAGGGGAGATTTTAAACTGCTGAGATTGTTACTGTGCGAAATTAATGGGTCTACTCTTTAAACAACTATTGGAACTCCCAGTTCCCAGTGTGACAAAAGGATGGCTTCACAAAAGCTTTAACTTTTCTGCGTTGATGTATGCGTGAAACGGAAAGAACACAATATACAGCTCATTAAAAATTCATAATTGCCAAAATACCAACCAGAACCTTGTGTTTTGTCAGAAAGGAAATAGCACATGTTTCTGCCTGCGTCCCCATGTCCCTTCTCTGGTTTCCGTCTGGACCCCAGGGAGTCCCCTCATTTCTTGCTCTGGAGCTACCTGGGTGGCTGCCTTGTGGCCAGGAGGCCCCACTCTGCACGGCAGCCCAGCTGTGCGTGCCATGCACAAGGCAGAGAGGCACGCCTGCCAGTTCTCATCTTGCATCATTCCTGTTGGTCGTGGGCCAAAATCTTCCTTTCTCAAAGTCCTGTACTCACTCAGGGTCCCTGGATATAAAGATTTAAATGTCTGAAGACCTTAGGCACATGGGCTTTTAAGAGGCATGCTTTTGAAGGTCCTATAATGGGTTCAGAGTGGCATTGTGAGCTATTTTTCTGAGTCTAACTTGTATTCCTTGCAAGTTGTACTTTAGTGGATAAGAACAATTTAGCCAACCGTTCACAAAATTACAGTTGCTTTAAGAACCAAAAGGAAAAAGAAATCAGTTGCCCAGCTGCCATGTGTTTTGATTCTGTTCCAGGTCCTACGGAGGCCCCTTTGAGTGCTGGTTTTTGTTCGTCCACTTTGGAGGATGGGCTGATATTGCGGCTGAGCAGTTACTGATGTCAGAAGCTGAACCCCCTGAGGCCGTGCTGTGGCTCTTGGCCTTCAGCTACAGACCACGTGATGGGAGTCAGCAGAGAGCACAGACCATGGTGGGTGGCAGGACCCACTGCATGTGGCGTTCAGCGTTGGTCTCGCTGGAGCTGAAAGGATCCTGCAGGAAGGGGCCCTGTAGTGGGTTTGGCTTTCACTAACCCCCCAGGCACCTAAGCACTGAGTGCTCCCAACCCTTGTTGTGGTAGTGTGTAGGTGTCCCGCTGGATGAGTGAATGTGTCCTGGGCTTATGGTCGGAGGCGTTTTCCTGCCTTCACTGAGTTCACTGCAGACCAGACCCTGCCACTCAGCTCTCCTGGGAAGCACCGAGGAGACGAGGCGCCTCTCTTCTGTCCCCTAGGTCGTTTTATCTGTTCTTACTCAGCTGCCACGTCTGCCCTCCTTTACAGACACCGCTGGCCCAGGGGCGGCGTCCTCCAGGGAGTGCCATGCAGGGTCTGACGCTCTTCCGAGGAGCTTGTCCTCTCTCTCTGATCAGCGGCCGGGCCATGTCTGCTTCCGTCTTAACTTACTGCTTTCTTGGATCAGTCAACAGATCCTCACATTACTGGCTTTGTTTAGAACTCTTACTAAAGTAATCACATGATATTAACCACTTAGCTTCTGAAAAAGCACTTGGTCATTTCCTAAATGACAGAGCAGCTAAGTACAGGACTGGCTAACTATCTGTGGCAAAGACAGTTGTTATTTTATGTGGCATATAATAATTACAGGAAGCAATGCTTTGATTAAAAGCATTGGCACCTCCCTTGCAAACATTTATTTGCTGGTTTTTAAAACCTCAAGTGCCAGTGCTTTTTGCTGATTTTAATAATTAAAGGCAGCAGGTTTCTTTATGTAGAGAGCAGTCCTCCTATTTGCTTGATGTTTTCTGTTGTTGGAAAAAAGCAGAGACCAGTACAGATATGTCTGTATATCTTACTTGTTTGAAGGCTTGCGTGGCAGGGGGAAGAAAAAGACTTTTGGATTTAAAAAGTTGAAATTTGGTGATAATTTATTTTGGATCAAAAAATAGAACATTTTTTAGAAATTATCATACTCCACACATGTATTTGAGGATTGCTATCTGATTAAAAAGAAAGCTTTCTATTTCCCTTTTAAAATATCACATTAAACTAATTAAGGAAAATCCTAATTGATGTTTTCATCATCTTATTTTTTTTTGTAAAACATTTTTTAATTTTATTGATGTCATAATAGTTTATAACATTGTGAAATTTTAGTTGTACATTATTGTTTGTCAGTCACCACATAAATGCATCCCTTCACCCCTTGTACGCACCTCCCACCCCTCCTTGCCCCTGGTAACCACCAAACTGTTCTCTCTGTCCGTGTGTAGGTTCATCTTCCACATATGACTGAAGTCATACCGTGTTTGTCTTTCTCTGTCTGGCTTATTTCGCTTAAGATAATACCCTCCAGGTCCATCCATGTTGTTGCAAATGGAACGATTTTGTATTTTTTTATGGCTGAGTAGTATTCCATTGTATATATACACCACATCTTCTTTATCCAATCATCTGTTGAGGGACACTTGGTTGCTTCCACGTCTTGGCTATAGTGAATAATGCTGCAATGAACATAGGGGTGCATAACCTGCTTTGGATTGTTGATTTCAGATTCTTTGGATAAATATCCAGTAGTGGGATAGCTGGATCATAATGTCTTTCTATTTTTAATTTTTTGAGGAATCTCCATACTGTTTTCCATAGAAGCTGCACCAGTTTGCATTCCCACCAGCAGTGAATTAGGGTTCCCATTTCTGCACAACCTCGCCAGCGTTTGTTATTTTTTGTCTTGGTGATTATAGCCATTCTAACAGGTGTAAGGTGATATCTTAGTGTAGTTTTGATTTGCATTTCCCTGGTGATTAGTGATGTTGAACATCTTTTTATGTGCCTGTTGACCGTCTGTATATCTCTGGAAAAAAGTCTGTTCATATCCTCTGCCCATTTTTTGATCAGGTTGTTTGTTTTTTCTTGTTCAGTTGTGTGAGTTCTTTATATAAGTAACCCCTTGTCAGATATATGATTTGCAAATATTTTCGCCAAGCTGGTGGGTTGTCTTTTCATTTTAATCCGGGTTTCATTTGCCTTGCAGAAGCTCTTTAATCTGATGAAGTCCCACTTATTTATTTTTTCTTTTGTTTCCCTTGTCCGAATAGACACGGAATTCAAAAAGATCCCTCTGAGACCAATGTCAAAAAGTGTACTGCCCATGTTTTCTTCCAGGAGTTTTATAGTTTCAGGTCTTACCTTCAAATCTTTGGTCCATTTTGAGTTCATTTTTGTGTATGGTGAAAGAAAAGAGTCTACTTTCATTCTTTTGTATGTGGCTGTCCAGTTTTCCCAGCACCATTTATTGAAGAGATTTTCCTTTCTCCATTGTATGTTCTTAGCTCCTTTGTCGAAGATTAGCTGTCCGTAGATGTATGGTTTTATTTCTGGCCTTTGAATTCTGTTCCATTGATCTGTGTGTCTGTTTTTGTACCAGTGCCATGCTGTTTTAATTATTATAGCTTTGTAGGATATTTTGAAGTCAGGGATTGTGATGCCTCCATCACATGTTCTTCTTTTTCAGGATTGCTTTAGCTATTCAGGGCCTTTTGTTGCCCCATATGAATTTTAGTATTCTTTGTTCTATTTCCATGAAGAATGTCGTTGGGATTCTGATTGGGATTGCACTGAATCTGTAGATTGCTTTAGGTAGTATGGACATTTTAACTATGTTTATTCTTCCAGTCTATGTGCATAGGATATCTTTCCATTTCTTTATGTCATCATCGATTTCTTTCATTAATGTCTTATAGTTTTCATTGTATAGGTCTTTCACCTACTTGGTTAACTTTATTCCTAGATATATTATTCTTTTTGTTGCAATTGTAAATGGATTGTATTCTTGACTTCTTTGTGAGTTTGTTATTAGAGTATAGAAATGCAACTGATTTTTTTAAGTTGATTTTGTACCCTGCAACTTTGCTGTAGTAGTTTTCCAATGGATTCTGTAGGGTTTTCTATATATAAAATCATGTCGTCTGCAAACAGTGCGAGTTTCACTTCTTTGTTGCCTATTTGGATTCCTTTTATTCCTTTTTCTTGCCTAATTGCTCTGGCCAAAACCTCCAGTACTATGTTGAATAAGAGTTGTGAGAGTGGGCACCCTTGTCTTATTCCTGTTCTCAGAGGAATGGCTTTCAAACTTTCCTCATTGAGTATGATGTTGGCTGTGGGTTTGTCATAAATGGCCTTTATTATGTTGAGGAACTTTCCTTCTATGCCCATTTTGTTGAGAGTTTTTATCATAAATGGATGTTGGATCTTGTCAAATGCTTTCTTTGCATCTATTGAGATGATCATGTGGGTTTTTTTCCTCATTCTATTAATGTGGTGTATCACATTGATTAATTTGCGGATGTTGAACCATCCCTGTGTCCCTGATATAAATCCCACTTGATCATGGTGTGTGATCTTTTTAATGTATTGCTGTATTTGGTTTGCCAATATTTTGTTGAGGATTTTTGCATCTATGTTCATCAGCGATATTGGCCTGTAATTTTCCTTCTTTGTGTTGTCCTCGTCTGGCTTTGGGATCAGGGTGATGTTGGCCTCGTAGAGTGTGGTAGGAAGTGTTCCATCTTCCTCTCTTTTTTGGAATAGTTTGAAAAGGATAGGTATTAGATCTTCTTTGAATGTCTGGTAAAATTCTCCAGAGAAGCCATCTGGTCCTGGACTTTTATTTTTTGGGAGGTTTTTGAGTACTGTTTCAATCTCTTTACTTGTGATTGTTCTATTCTAATTCTCTATTTCTTCTTGATTCAGTTTTGGGAGGTTGTGTGAGTCTAAGAATTTATCCATTTCTTGTAGGTTGTCCAATTTGTTGGCATATAGTTTTTCATAGTATTCTCTTATTATCCATTGTAATTTCTCCTCTTTCATTTCTAATTTTATTTATTTCAGCCTTCTCTCTTTTTTTGTTAGTGAGTCTGGCTAAGGGTTTGTCATTTTGTTTATCTTCTCAAAGAACCAGCTCTTTGTTTCATTGATCCTTTCTACTGTTTTTTTGGTTTCAATTTCATTTATTTCTGATCTAATTTTTATTATTTCTCTCCTTCTGCTGACTTTGGGCTTTGTTCTTCTTTTTCTAATTCTGTTAGGTGTAGTTTAAAGTTGCTTATTTGGGATTTTTCTTGTTTGTTAAGGTGGTCCTGTATTGCTAGTAGTTTCCCTCTCAGGACTGCTTATATCTGTATCCCATATGAGTTGGTATGTTGTATTTTCATTTTCATTTGTCTCCAGATATTTTTTGATTTCTCCTTTTATTTCTTCAATGATCCATTTGTTGTTCAGTAGTATGTTGTTTAGTCTCCACATCTTTGTCACTTTCCCAGTTTTTTTCTTGTAGTTGATTTCTAGTTTCATAGTGTTATGGTCAGAAAAGATGCTTGTTACAATTTCAATCTTCTTAAATTTATAGAGGCTTGCCTTGTTTCCCAACATGTGGTCTATCCTTGAGAATGTTCCGTGCGTGCTTGAGAAGAATGTGTAATCTGCTATGTTTAGATGGACTGCTCTCTATATATCTATTAAGACCATCTCGTCTAGTTTTTCATTTAAGTCCACTATTTTCTTATTTACTTTCTTATTATTTCTTATTTATTTTCTTATTTACTTTCTATCCATTGATGTAAGTGGGGTGTTAAGACCCCCTACTATTATGTGTTATTGATATTATCTCCTTTTAGGTTTGTTAATAGTTGCTTTATGTACTTTGGTGCTGTGTTGGGTGCATATATATTTAAAAGTGATAGGTCTTCTTGGTGGATGGTCCCTTTTATCATTATATATTGCCCCACTTTGTCTCTCATTACCTGTTTTATCTTCAAGTCTACTTTGTTTGAGATAAGTATGGTAACACCTGCTTTCTTTTGTTTGCCATTAGCTTGGAGTATTGTCTTCCATCCTTTCACTCTGAGCCTGCATTTTGTCTTTGGAGCTGAGATATGTTTCCTGGAGGCAGCATATTTTTGGGTCTTGTTTTTTAATCCACCCCGCAGCTCTGTGTCTTTTGATTGGAGAGTTCAGTCCATTTACATTTAGAGTGGTTATTGATACATGAGGGCTTACTGTTGTTATTTTATTGCTCATTTTCCGGTTCTTTTTCATTTCCTTTGTTTCTCGTCCCATGTGTTTCAGAGTACCAATTCAGTTTGGTAGTTTTGTATGATGGTTTTCTTAGTTTTCTCTTTATTTATCGTATGTGTCTGTTCTGATTATTTGTTTAGTGGTTACCATGAGGTTTGTATAAAAAATCTCATAGATGAGATAGTCCATTTTCTGATGGCCTCTTATTTCCTTAGACTAAGTCGATTCCATGCCTTGCCTCTTCCCCTTCTAGGTTACTATTGTCACAACTTACTCCATCTTGTGTTGTGAGTTTGTGTTTAAAGTGATGAGGTTATATTTATTTTTGGTGTTTTCCTTCCCTTAATCTTTGATGTTATATTAAGTGTTTGCTAACCTATTCTGATAGAGAGCTGCAATTTTTCTGATTTTGGTTACCTATTTTTCTCCTTGCTCAAAGCTTTGTATCCCCTTTCTCTTTTTTTTTCAGGCATGAGGGCCTTCTTGAGCATGTCTTGTAGTGGGGTTCTTGTGGCAATGAACTCCCTTAGCTTCTGTTTATCTGGGATAGTTATTATTTCTCCCTCATATCTGAAGGATATTCTCGCTGGATAGAGTATTCTTGGCTGAAAGTGTCTTTCAGAATTTTGAATATATGATTCCACTCTCTCCTAGCCTGTAAAGTTTCTGCCAAGAAATTGGCTGAGAGCCTGATAGGAATTCCTTTGTATGTTATTTTTTTTTATCTTGCTGCCCTTGATATTTTTTCTTTATCATTGACTTTGGCCCGCTTTACTACGATATGTCTTGGAAAGGGTCTTTTCATATTGATATATTTAGGAGATCTGTTGACTCCATTCACTTGTATTTCCAGCTCCTTCCCAAGGTTTGGGAAGTTCTCAGCTATTATTTCTTTGAACAAGCTGTCTGCTCCTTTTTCCCTCTCTTCTCCCTCTGGAATACCTATAATCCTTATGTTACATTTCCTAATTGAGTGAGATATTTCTCAGAGAATTTCTTAATTTCTTTTTAATCTTAGTTCTGTTTCCTCCTCCATCTGGAGCATTTCTGCATTCCTGTCCTCAGTGTTGCTAATTCTTTCCTCCATATTGTCAGCTCTGTTCTTTAAAGATTCCAGATTTTTCTTTATCTCCTCCATTGTGTTTTTCATCTCCAACATTTTTGGTTGGTTTTTCTTTATAGTTTAAATCTCTTTTGTGAAGAAGTTCCTGATTTCATTGAATTGTCTATCTGTATTTTCTTGTAATTTGTCGGGCTTTTTTATGTTAGCTGTTTTGAATTCTCTGTCGTTTAAGTTATAAATTTCTGTGCCTTCAGGATTGATTTCTGGATGCTTGTCATTTTCCTTCTGGTCTGGAGATTTAGTATATTTTTGCATACTGCTTGAGGTCGTTGGCTTATTTTTCCTCATTCTGAAAATATCTGATTGCAGCCCCCACATGCCAGCACTGGGTGGGGGGTCAGGAGCTGTGTATTCTGAGCCTGCTGTGCTCCCTGGGTGCTCTGGCCGACCAGCTGTGCTGGTGCTCTGGGTGGGGGAAGGGATTTCTTTCGCCTGCCCAATCCTGGGGGCTTCTCGTTCTTCCTTCGCTGTCTGCTCTCCTGGGGTGCTAGCTTGATGAAGACACCCCTGCCACAGTTCAGTCCCCTCCATATGGGAATTTCCCACAGACTGTGAGAGAACTTGGAGAACAGTGGTTTTCCCGTGGAGGGCCATCCCTCCCCCCCTCTCTCTGAGAGAGCCACGTGGTCCTGATCCCAGGGTCGCTGTCATTGGGGAAGGAGAGGAGTTCTCCTCACCTCCTTCCACTTCCTCCTGGGGTACCAGCACCTCCACCTTCAGACCTGAGGCTGTGTAGGTCTCTCAGACGTCTTTTGGGTTGTGTGAATGTCCTTTGTTGGTATTTGAATGTCCTTTTTGTTGTATCTTAGCGAGGGAGAGTCTAAGGGGGAAAGCTCACTCTGCCTTGATGCTGACATCACTCCCCTCATCATCTTATTTTTAATAATAATTAAAATATATGAAGCACTAATGATTTCTAAAGCCCTTCTATATATACCTTATATTTGATTCTGCATAAGCTAAGTTGATAGGTTATGTATTAAATTCCATTTTGATCATAGAAATTGACACATACTCACTTTTGAAGAATAGAAAAATATATTGTCCAATAAAATTTAATTTCTAGAAAGTTCTGCATTGGCACATCATTCTAATAGTTAACCTGGTCTATTTTTTTTTTTTTTTTTTAATGAAACCTATGCATAGTTCTTACTCTGGGGATGATTCAGCATCCTGGATAAAAGTGGATGAGCTCACTCAGAGTGGTTTAGTGCCCTATGTCATTTCCTTCCTGGATATTCTGTCAGAGGTAGCCAGCAGCCTTGTGATTGGAGCCGTGCTTCATATTTGTCATTCCAAAGCCTCTTCCTCCTCCTTGGTGCCCAACCCGAAGCACTGGCATGTGTGCCGTCCCGGGGAGCGAGCGTGGCCCAGGGTGCCTAGTTTAACTAGTAGTACATACCTCTTGCTCTCCTGAGTTTTGTGAGCTTTTAATCCCTTTGATGGTCTGTTGGGTGATTCAGAAACAAACTGTGAACTGCCTTTGAAAGCATGATTATGGTAAAATTTGATTGAACTTGACAATATCTGTACCTTTGCCTTAAAAGGTGTAATTAAATCACAGTTACTTGCTTAGCCCCAACAGTGTACCGTGGCTGGAATTGTCATCTCTGCTGGCCATCCTTGAGGTTCAAGAATGGGGAGCAAAGAGTAACTGTCCCTGCCTGGTATGGGTACCACCACACAAAGACCTGCCTTCTCTCTGCAAGCCATGTTCGATGCCAGCCAGTGTCCATCTTCTTTTGCTAGCTTTGAATTGGATCATGATAAAAATAAAAAATATCTGTTTTTATCCCTTAAGAATTAGGCAAGGGTTCATACTCTTTAACACTGTTGTTCCACTTCTAGGAATTATCCTAAGGAAGTAATGAGAGATCCATGCAGAGATTTATGTACAAGAATATCATCACAGCATTGTTTGTGATTGCAACAATTGGAAATGCCCTAAACTTTCAATAGTAAGGATGTTGGCTAAATAAAGTGTGGTATATTCTAACCATGGGATAGCATTCTACCATGAAAAATCATGTTCTCAAAGAATATGTGTTCTAGATATGGTAAATTTCTTGTAGTGCATTGTGAAAAGAAAACTGTAAGATAACAAAACATTGTGTAATGAGTGCTGAGTTCACAATGCATAGGAAAAAGACAAGAAGAATGTAAACCTAGTTATTAACAATGAGTCTCTTTGGATGGTGGAGTTATAGGTCATTTTTTTTTCTTTTTACTTTTTTGTTCAAATTTTCTACAGTGAGCACATATAAATTTTCATGATGCAGGATAAAAAGTAATACTTAGAAAAGAGAGCTTATATCTTTCTCCTGAAAAAATCAGAAAGCATTTACAGTTATTGGCATTTCAGCTAAAAGCTTGGTGGACATGGAAGGCATTTGAAGGGATGAAATAGAGAGGAAGAAGACCAAGTCTTAGGGAATATTGGACAAAGGTAGAAAATCAATGCCAGTTAAGAGGAAAATGGACATGAAGGCATAGCTTCCTAAGCCCTCACATTTTTGAAGACCCATTTAGATGGCAAGATGGTCTTGGGCTCCCATAGATGCTGTCAGACAAGGGCAGGCTCAGGCTCCGAAGGAAGAGAGGTGGTGAGAGAGTGGCCTTCTCCTGTTGGAAGGCTGCCATTCTCCATGGAAGAGTCCCATGGTGCAGTTTCTCACGGTCTTGTATTGTGGTTAGAATAGCTCACACAGCACTCCTAGTGTACTGGAGTTTATGACAGACTTCATTGAATGTGGCCTTAACTTCCAGGAAAACAAATGACTCACACAAAATCCATAAAATTGGTCATGGGAATTCTCAGAATAGGCCTAAGTCTTCTTTCGAAAATGATGGAACATAGCTATTCATGAGTTCCATGTGGCATTTTGGATCTATGGCTTTCAGTTTTTGCTTTGTTTTCCAAGTCAACTTGACATACCATTGTTACAGCAAGGAGGAATCTCAGCATGAAATAAATATTTTTTATGCAGAAACAATCCACAGACCTGTAACAATCACCATTATTATGTGGATTCCACAGACTTGTGGCCTCTGCTTGAGCTTTAAACATGTAGGCACAGACTGTCCCAGTGTCTAAAACAAAACAAAAGGGGTGTGTGTGTGTGTGTGTTTCCTCCCCGCAAAGATAGCAAAAGGCAAACCTCATTCTTATCAGAACATTGGCTCAGCAGAGGTCTGATTGCATGGGGCTTTAATTGATTTGTGGCTGTGATAGTGAGCAAGTCTTCAAGGAGCCTTTTGTTCTTTTCCCCACAATAGAAAAATCTGACTGCATTCTGCTGAAGACTTTTCTCCATTTCCTTTCATACAAAAAAAGGTCAATTCCTGGCATGGTGCCCTGGCTGCTTAGTGAGAAAGACAAAAGAAAAGTCAAGAAATTTCCATTACGCCCATTTGTGTTTGTGTGGAGCAGTGTGTAAACTCAAACGTGGGCCGCCTGTCTGCCCTCCCTCATGCGCCAGTCCTCGCCTCTTTCTGGGCCTTGCTTCAAAGTACCAAATAAGTCCTAGAACCATGCACGTCCTGAGACTCTTCTCTCATCTCTTACCTTTGTAATTATACTCCCCAGGTGGAGGTGAAGGCAGTGCATGGCCGCCTCATGAAGCTGCTCAGAAGTCCGGCCCTCTCAGCTAGGGATCTGCAGGCAGCAGCTGGAGAGAGCCAAGCCGCAGCCCCCAGACCATCTGCGTGTGGACAGCTGATCAGGCATCTCCTCCTGAACTTCCTGCTCTGGGCTCCTGGAGGCCACGCAATTGCCCGGGAAGTCATCACCCTTGTAAGTCTCCCGTTTTCTAGTACTCTTGGTCTCATTCACATTCCAGGTAAAAGGTGAGTTATCCACCTGAGGGCCCGGCCCTTGAAGAGTGTGTGTACCAGGATGCTATCCAAACGTGGATGGATAGGCAGTGAGATTGACAGCTGGGATGGACCCCAGAGCCTGCCCTTTATAACACCTTCATGTCACAGAAGAGAAAATGGAGGCTCCAGGAAAAGAGGTGACTTTTTCTAGGTCACACCTTGCTACCAGAGCTCATAGTAAAAGCTGGGTCTCCTGTCTCCCCATGTACTATTCTTTCAGTGACAGTGCACGACTCTCTTGCTCCTCATGAAGAGAAATAAGACTTCAGTGAGAATGTGCTCACTGCAGCAGTTCAAAGAATTTTGTTTGTTAATTTAAAAAAGTGTTTGCTAATTACAAAGAATTCCTTCCTGAAGCCCAGCTGACATGAGGGGTAAAGAACGTCCAAGTCAAAAGTGAGCACCGTTCATGACATTGGATTAGGGGATGATTTCTTGAATAATGTCATCAAAGGCTCAGGCAACAAAAGGAAAAAATAGATAAATTGGACTTCATCAAAATTAAAAACTTTTGTACATCAAAGGACACTATCAAGAGAGTGAAAAGACAACTCACAGAATGAGAGGAAAATATTTGAAAACCATTTATCTGATAAGGGTTTAGTATCCAGAATATATAGGGAAATCTTACAACTCAACAACAACAAAAACCCAATTCAAAAATAGGCAACGGATTTGAATAGACATTTCTCCAAAGGAGAAGTACAAATGGCCAAAAAGCACATGAACAAATGCCCAGTACATCAGCCATCAGGAAAACGCTAATCAAAACTACAATGAGGTACCACTCCACACTCACTAGGATGGTGTTATAAAGAAAACAAAACAAAACGGAAAATAATAAGTGTTGGTGAGGATGTGGAGAAACTGGAACACTCATATATTTCTAGTTGGGAATATTAAAATGGTGCAGCCACTGTGTAAAAGAGCTTACTGGTTCCTCAAAAAGTTAAACATAGGGGCTGGCCTGGTGGTGTAGTGGTTAAGTTCATGTGCTCCATTTCAGCGGCCTGGAGTTTGCAGGTTCAGATCCTGGGTGCGGACCTATGCACCATTCATCAAGCCATGCTGTGGTGGCATCCCATATACAAAATAGAGGAAGATGGGCACAGATGTTAGCTCAGGGCCAATCTTCCTCAGCAAAAAGAGGATGATTGGCAAAATGGACGTTAGCTCAGGGCCTATCTTCCTCACCAAAAAAAAAAAAAAGTTAAACACAGAATTACTATATGATCCAGGAATTCTACCTCTGTGTATACCCCTAAGGAATTAAAAGCAGGGACTCAAACAGATACTTGTCCACCTCTGTTCATAGCAGCATTATTCACAACAGCCAAAAGGTGGAAACAACCCAGATGTCCATCAACGAATGGATAAACAAAATGGGGTCTATATATATAATGGAATATTTTTCAGCCTTAAAAATGAATTAGGGCCGGCCCCGTGGCTTAGCGGTTAAGTGTGTGCGCTCCTCTGCTGGCGGCCCCGGTTCAGATCCCGGGCGTGCACTGACGCACCGCTTCTCCGGCCATGCTGAGGCCGCGTCCCACGTGCAGCAACTAGAAGGATGTGCAGCCATGACATACAACTATCTACTGGGGCTTTGGGGAAAAAATAAATAAACAAAATTATAAAGTGAAGGCAACAAATCCTGCCTATAATTAAAAAAAAAAAAATAAGTTCTACAACATGGATGAACCTAGAGGACATTACGCTAAGTGAAATAAGCTAGACACAAAAGGACATACATTATATGATTCCACTTATATGAGGTACCTAGAATGGGCAAATTTATCGAGACAGAAATTAGAATAGAAGTTTACCTGGGGCTGGGGAGTGGAGAGAGGGATGAAGAGTTAGTGTTTAATGGGTACAGAGTTTCTGTTGGGATAATGAGAAAGTTCTAGAAACAGATGGTGGTGATGGTTGTAAAACATTGTGAATTTACTTCATGCCAGTGAATTGTACACTTAAAAATGGTTAACACTGCAAATTTTATATTATGTGTATTTTACTACAATAAAAAGAATGCTCATCTCAAAAAAAAAAAAAACCTATCACCTATCAACTTCTTAGACCTTTTATTTCTGTTTTGGTTTACTTTTTATTGACATATACCTACAACAACTGTACAGCTTGATGAATTTTCACAAACCAGAAATATCTATGAAACCAGCAACCAAATCAAGAAAAGAATGTTCCCAGCACCCAGAGGGCCCCCTCCTCTTCCTTTCCAGGGCAGGTTCTGTTTGAATGTGAATATGAGGCAAGTCCCAGTGACACATGGGACTGCCAAGAACCTCAGAAGCCAGCGCCCAGGAGGTTCTCCTCAGTCCTGGCAGAGCAGTCGATGTGGGGCAGGCAGGCCACAGCAGCCGCCTGTCAGTCCCGCCCCTCACACTCAGACAAGACCTCACAAGAGCCTGCACGTGGCCACGAGCAGAAAAGGACTCGTGTCACGTGCTGGGTGCCATCTCCTCGGGATCCACCCAGCACAGTGATCTATTGTATACTTTTGTAAAATACACTCCTCACTTACTTCCCAGTCCATTTGGGTAGGAGAACTCCACAGGTGAGAGCTAAAAGATGTCCATAGAACTTGGTATCAACGAACTTTCTCTCTGGCCAAGTCTAAGTTATAATAGTCGCTTTTCAGCCACTACCTCAGGCAGGTGATCAAGGTCAACATCAACAGGGGTAAGTCACGTTGACAGTATGTGCCCTTGATGTGATGTGAGGAAAAGGCACTTCACCTCTGTGGTCTTCCTCCTCAGAACCTACAGCCCCAGTCTGATAATGCAAAAACAATTGACAAACCCCAGTTGAGGGACACTTGACAAAATACCTGACCAGCACTCCTCAGAACTGTCCAGGTCATCAAAACAAGGAAAGTCTGAGAAACTGTCACAGCCAAGAGGAGCCTAAGGAGACACAACCACTAAATGTAATGTGGTCCCAGATGGGTTCCTGAAGCAGAAAAAGGACATGAGGGAAAAACTGAGGAGATCAAAATAAAGTCTGGCCTTGAGTTAATAAAAATGTATCAATATTGGCTCATTAATTGTGACCAATGTACCATGCTAACGTAAGGGGTTAATAATGGGAAAACTGGGGGGGATATATGGGATCTCTCTGTATTATCTTTTTGGTAAAACTATAAATCTAAAACTGTTCCAAAATTAAAAGTTACTTTAAAAGTCAACAGTAGGCACTTTTGAATCATGAAAGTGTTGGCGGCATTTTTGTCACCTGACCTCTGATCTCCTGCCCATGCCCTGGTCACCTGTGAGTGGAGCTTCAGCCCCAGGGGAGCCCGCGCTCTCTTTCTCCCCCGTGAGCTCTCATCCTGTTCCCCTCCCATCCTGTCACCCTGGGAGTGGGAAGCAGGCCCATGGCTGGAGCTCACCTTGCTCAGGGGTCAGGGAGATCGTGGCCTGGCCCTGCCCAGGGGGAGTGAGAGAACATAACCCAGAGAAACCTCCTCGGAGACACCCAGATCTCTGCTTCAGTTATTCCAACAACCTTTCCGTCCATTCCAGGAATACAGTCCACATTCAAAATGGACTGCCCTCAAGTCTCACACACACAGAAGCTGCTGTTAATAAGGAGCTAGATCATGTCACAAAGTTCAGGTTTGCCGCCCATGCCAGGCACCCCATTCCCACAAGATCGTTCAATCCCAGCCATACATCAGAGGGAACATGGAAAACTCCCATTCAATTTCTAAGTCAGCTAAGCTGCAAAAAAATTCATTAAAGGATAAAACACCAACGTTTCTCTTTATGCGCTGCCTTCTTAGCAGGTGCTAGGCATCTGGGCACCTTGGAGCCCACTGGGGCCGAGGAGCCTCCTGGATGGTGTCCTTGCAGATGTTCTGAAACAGTTTTTACTAATGTACCAGCCTTCTGACTCGAAGGCTTCCTGCAGTGGCCACAGGACAGGCTGAAGGCAACTCGGCCAACGCAGCTACACACAGGACAGACAGGAGTCCTCTGCACAGTGCCAGTCTCTTGTGGACTTCTGCTCGCCTCCCACCGTCTCGTCAGCTCCTCGCTCTGCAAGCACCCTGAAAGAGCTCCAGGCTAGGTCTCCTTGGCCTGGGAGCAGCTGGCGGCCAGACGGTGGACGTGTTGGCTTTGGTGGGACAGCCTTTCTCTTCCAGCAGCTTTGGCTTCACCCCCTCAGGACCCTAGCCCTGGCCAAGCTTTGATGTGAACTCAGAGAGGCCCAAGCAAAGCCAGCTCCCAGGCATGGGTGCTAGCCTTGTCCTTCTTGTGTTGGCATCAGCTTTGGAGAGCTGTGCACGCTGGGCCTGTGTGTGCAAGCCTGTCTCTTCACAGCCTTTCTCCAAGCGGACCCCTAGTGCCATTGGCCCGCCTTCCTGAGTAGCTCCATTTCAACTTAAAGGTGTTCATCCCTCCAGCCTCTGCTGTAGGACGCTCTCAGTGGACTTTCCTCTAGCTCAGTGTACAGGCCCTAGGAATCAGCTTCTGCCGCATTGGGCTTCCGAGAGTTTGCACTGAACTTCTTCCTCAGAACCCCTGCCCCTTCCCACCCATTGTTCTTCTTCTCTGGCTGCTGGTTCTCTTGCCCACTCCCTGCTCCTTGTTGACCGTCTTCCCGTGTGGCTCTTGGATGAGAATGAGGCGCGAGCCGCCCGGCTGGGGTTTGGATTCCTCCCGCCCCTGCAGCTCATCCTCTCCTGCCTCCTGTCCTTTCCTGAGTTCTTGTGTCCCATCCCCCCCGCCCCCCCGCCCCGTCTTCTGTTGCTGGACCATGGCAATAACAGCCAGAAGTTAGCAAGAATCTGAAATACAGCGTTCAGTTCATAGTCGCTGAACTCAAAATGAATTTAACCCCTGACATGACTCAGCCAAACCCTGTAAGGCTGCAGCTTCCCTCCCTCAGCTGCAGTGAGGCAGGTCTGTGTATGTGACTAGAGACCTTGAATGGGACAGTGTGGGAGTGGAGTTAGCCTGTAGAGAAGATGTGAGGTTAGATCAGGTGACCTCCAGTCGTCTCTAATGGCTACTCTGCCCTGCTTCTGGCTCGGTGGGGTCCCTGGGGTCCCTGGGCATTGCCAGACCCAACCCACGAGCAGGAGGCAGTCATCCCCCACTTGCATTCTAGGTGGTAAGTTAACTCTCTTAAGGCGTCCCAGAGAGGCTCACATTGTTTCATTCATGAAGGACAGAGGCTGCATCTGACAAAGGTCATCTACAGCATCTGTGATTTCTGAGTAAAAACCAAGCAATGATAATACAGATGCCAAGAGCCACAATGAACCCCCATCCCCTAGCAGAGCCCAGCTCAGCTTGGGCCAAAGAGCTGACGCTGGTCGAGGTGTGCCCCCCTCCCGCACTGCCACCCATAGTGCACGTGCTGTGTCTGCCTTGACTGCTGGTCAGGAGGTAAGTGGCCTGGGATCGAAGCATTTCCTGGGCTGTGGGACAGTCCCGGGTAAACAGGGCAGTTGCTCACCCCACCAGAAAGGCCCAGTGTGGAGATGGGGAGGAAGCTGACCTTGGGCTGCTGTGACCAAACATTTGACTGAGGGTTCTGCATAAACTGACACACAAAACAGATAATATAAATTACTCTCAAAAACATAGGCCTTCTTAATGCGCTGGTGTCTACAAAATCACAGTAAATTCTTTACGCAGCTAAATTTTGAGATTCTTGCTGTTCTCTTTTTGCTCAACTGAAATTCTTAGGAAAATACTTCCTGACACCAACAACTGTGAATGCCTTGGGGCTGTGTTTAGAGGAACTAACAATTCCTGTGTTTCCTGCTTCCCTTGAGAGTTCGGTGTTAAAACCTTAGATGCCTATTAAAAAACAAGCGGGCCCAGGTTGCTAGCCCGGGAACGCCATCTATAAAGCTGTCTGTGTGAGAACAGGTGGCATTTTTCCTTTCAGCATTTTACAGTTCGCACATGAGTGCGAGCCTCTTGCAGAAAGTGAAGCCACAGCATGTTTACTTGCCTTTGCTCCCCACAGCAAATAATCCCAAAGCTGGTGACTGGCGTTCCAGGAAACGTAGCGCTTGTCTGTAGCCTTCGTGAGTCTGAGGCCATTCTGTCAGGAGAGGGTGATCATTAGGAAATGACTCTGCTCACTGGGTGGCCAGCCTTTGAGAAGAGCCTGGCTGTGCTAATCACCTTGAAAACAGAACAAGAGCCCTTTGGAGCTAACAGGAATGCATCTGCTTTTCCGGGGCAGGGTGGTCACGGTGGGGCCACTGGATGGAAAGCTGTGTCTGTCTGGAGAGTGTTTTAATTTGCCTTCTCTCCTGTCCCCCTTGCAGATGGCGCACACGGATGAGATAACCCACGAGATCGCTAGCTTTCTTGACCAGACCTTGTACAGATGGGATCATCTCTGCATGGAAGCCCCTGCATCGAGAAAACTGGCCAGAGAGCTCCTTGCAGAGCTGCGGGGTCAAGTCTAGCACAGGCCTGTTGAAGATGTCGCTGTCACGCAGGGGCCCAGGCTCGTTGGGGCCACACAACAAAATGATGAGACTGCTTCTTATGGCTCCAAGTTTGTATGTAGGAGGAGTACCCTCTCTGAGCCGTGAGAACGAGCCAAAAACATCTTGGCAAGTTCCAGTGGTACATATCTTCCCTCCAGTGGTACAAAGCTTCCCTCCACTCGCAAATTATAGAAGCTTCAGGCTGCCCAAAACCTAACAAGTGCTTTAGGCCCAGACCCAGATTTCGCACTAATGGCTGGATTATGCCTCCCGCATTCCCTGTACCTGCCCGGCCCAGGACGTCCATTAGAGAATCACTGAAGAAAGGCTGGCTGAAGAACAGAGGCTCATTTCCTTTTTTTCCCATATCAACCAAGATGCACAACATTATTTGAATGTTTCAGAGTCTTTGGACCAAGAGTTTGGTCATGAGCTACTGATCAGTTTAGAAAGTAACTTAGCCCTTTTCCATAGACCTCTTTTTTTTAGAAGTCAGGTAATTGTTATTGTATTTCTTTTAATCCATAGGGATTTAAGATAAAGCCACACTCTCTTGCTTCCCTAAGAAATTCTTCATTCACGAGGGTCAGGATCCCTCAAGCTTCCCTTGGCACCCCCTGAGCAGGTCAAGGGGAAGCAGAGCCCACCAAGCCCAGTGGCAAGGAGTGGTGAGGGGCCGCTGGGCACCGTGGGTGCCTGTGCCGGCACTGCTGTGGAGAGCACCACTGCTGAGCAGTGAAATCAAGCCAGCCTGCTGCTAGCTTTTTTTGCTTTCTGTCTGCTGAACACTGACTGCTACCGAAAGAGTTCATATTACCTCAAAGATGGCTGGGGGCCGGGGTACAGGATGTGTTCCAGAAACGTCAGATTATGCAACAGTTGTCTTGTGAAAGGAAATGGGAATTGGAAATTTATAATAAAGAATTGGTAGCCCCAGGGTTAATGTTTCTTTCACGTCAGTTGAAGATACTTTTTCCTTTCTGGTTTATCCTTCACTTGCATTGATTTTATGCTCTTTGGTGTATATTCTGTTTGTCAAGAGAGTCAAGACTTTATGTCCACTTTGATTTATGTATTAGTAATCTCCGAATCGCCTTCAGTCCCAGCTGCTGTTTGAGATATGAGTCAAGTTTTGTTGTATTAGAGGTTGCACTTTCAGGAGAATTATTTGTTTTGGTTATGGATCAGCAAAATTCCAAGTACTTTTGACCTAAGCCTTCCTTTTGAGAAATGTTACACTATGAAATGTGTACTGTTAAAGTACTTTTATCACAACTGCCATCATTCTTACTTTCATATGCTTCACTTGGAGTTGAGGACCTCTCTCCTATGTTGATTTTTGCTGTGGAAGCTGTGGTCAACCTCTGCGGACATGAAGAAGGGGCTCAGTTTGGTGGTGGTGAGTAATGCTTAAAGTGAGCGCCTGCCTGGAATCAGACCTCCCGGGGGGGTTGTGCTTCCCTGTGGACTTCCATTCACGCTGTATTTCCCAGCCAACAGTAAAAACAAGACGGTTATCCACCTCACACTATGTAAGCTGCGTTTCTGGAAGATTCCTTCCTGTCCTGACCTTGCCTCAGCCTGTTTGTAGTATCTCCCCATTTCTTTACAAAGCCTCTGCGTTCTCCTGAGCCGTGGACTGGGATCAGAGAACAGAGCCCAAAATGAGAGGGAGAAAAGGCTTTCCTGACCACCTGTTAATACAAAGGTTATGTTTTTCACTGGGACTTGGAGATGTCAATGGAATTTGTTAGCTTTTTAAAATTTGTAATTTGTCTTATATTTTTTCCTTCTAAATAAAAAGTCACACTGCACCTAATTTTGTACTCTATTATTTTTTTTATTTTTTTATTTTTTGGTGATGACGATCAGCCATGAGCTAACATCTATGCCAATCCTCCTCTTTTTCCTGAGGAAGACTGGCCCTGGACTAACATCTGTGCCCATCTTCCTCTACTTTATATGGGACGCCGCCACAGCATGGCCTCACAAGCAGTGAGTCGGTGCGCGCCCAGGATCCGAACCCAGGCCGCCAGCAGCAGAGCGCATGCACTTAACCGCTACGCCACGCCATGGGGCTGGCCCCGGTATTCTTCTTTAAATATTATAATCTTAGAAAAAGCTTCCCTCCACTCACAAGTTATGGAAGCTTCAGGCTGCACAAAACCTAGATAGATCTGCCCCTGGAAAAGACCAATTATGGTTTATCCTTTGGGCCTGGGAATCTTGCCACCAGACATCTACAAACTGGGGTCCCATTGGCCAGGAAGAAGGGAGAGTGACTGTAGGGTGGGCAGGCAGCAGGGGCTGCTGAGACCAAATGAAATGCATCAGACATACATATACATTTTTTTTTCTGTAAGTCAGACTTAAATATTACCATTTAGTGTAAATTGGATTGTTCTATACGTTGTTCTTCCCCCATTTCTGAAAATAGAACTTGTCCAACAAAGCACAGCCCACACCCTCCTGCTTGCTCTGGTCTTTCAGAAACTCACTCATGGCCCTTGTGCTCCAGCCTTCACACGCTCCCCGAGGAGTCGTGCAAGACGGACCCCACCGGTTGGTGGGGCACGCGTCACTGTGGCTCCCTGCAGGACCCCAGTCTCTGGTTTCACTGCAGCCAAGCAGTGTACACGGGCTTTCTGGATGGTCACTCTGCTTCCCGACACAGGACACTGGGCACCTCTCGTCATGTCCAAAAGGCATCTGAGAGAGCGGATGGCAAGTGGGTAAGACTCGTTTCTGAAGAAACCCCTTGCCTGGGCAGGCCCAGGCTGGCTCTATGTTTGTGTGTGTTCTTAGCCCTTCTCCACTCAGCCCTATTTCTCACTGGTGGGTCAAGGATGCTGGGACAAAAATGAGATAGCATCCAGGGGACAGGAGAAAGACAGGCTTTTTGTCGAAGTGGAGGAGTCAGTCAAGAACAGGGACTCGCAGGGCGACACTGGGGAAGCCTAGAACCAGGGCAGGCGGCTGGCAGTGCCGTCATTTCAGGACGGGCCAGCCTGGGGGCGGAGGGTGGGCACGGAAGTGTCTGCATAGTGAGGGCAAGGGTGAGGATGCTCGTCCTTCTTCCACAAGGAAGCAGCGAGATGCAGGCTCCAGGCGCACCTCTCCTGGCCTCTTCTCTCTCTCTCAACTCCTTACCGCCCCACCCACCAGCAGCGGTACTGGAAATGGGCTTCTTCCCTCTACTTGACACTGGATTTAACACGGATTTCATGGACTTCGTCAAACAATTCTAAGTTATCATCACCTTTTATTACTCCTAAAGAAAGAACCCAAATTAGGCAAAATAAATATGTGTGTGTCTTAAAGCTGCCTTCTAAAATCCAGTTCCACAATTTGTTTATACTGTGAGTCCAAATCATATCCCTTATATAAAGACTGGTAACAATGAAGCTTATAACGTAGGACTTTCCTTTTCCCCAGTCCTGACATAATCATGTCTTAGTGTACCTGGTGTTTTAGGTAGGAAATTTCTATACTTTGATACTGAGAGTTTCACACCTCTTAACTTTTCTGTAGAAGTAGTCTCATAAATCAGTGTTGGAAATCTTATTGGCCTCTGATGTTCCTCACATTACGATGAATCCACATGTATCAGCCAGGATTCTTGGTTGCAAGCAACAGAAATGGACACAGTGCTGAAAGTAAAAGGGAACTGGTCAAAAGGGTATTTAAAAGCCCACACATTGTCACGCAGGCAAGGCTTAGTGCTAGCCGGTTGGCAGCGGTGCCCACACCCCGGCTTCAGAACGGTCTGGGGAGGACACTCCCGTGCCGCCTCTGAACCCTGCGGCTCAGCACCTCTGTAGCTCTCTCCTGCATCATCTGCAACCTCCGGCAGTGGGACAGGCCCCTGCGCCCCATTCTTTGAAGCACCGGTCAGAGTCCCAGCTGGCGCCTCTGACTGGGGGAGCCCAGGTCCCCTGCCTGCACCTAAGCTGTAAGGGGAGCTGGAAAAGCAAGTGTGTGGCTTGTTTTGCTTCTGTGACGTTATTGGATACCTTGAACACCACCAGCGGTACCACCCTCCTACAGGAAGGGGTCAGAGCCCAGGCAGCTGAAGAAAATAAAAAACATCCACAGCACTATATATCGTCTATTTGTTAAGACTCTTCTAGAGCAGCTGAGAAGGTTGCATCCCATGAAAACAGCCCAACACTCAGCAATAGAGCAAGAAAAGTAGAGGAGGGCCCATGGCAGAAGACCAGTTTGTAGTCACTAGACTGGGTTTCTCCAGTGCAGACCACGTAAGGCTCTGTGGGGCTGTCATGTGCTTCCTAGGGTAGTGAGCACCGTCCTGGCGTCTCCGCACTAGAGGCCAGCCCAGTAGTGACAATCAAAGTTTTCTCCAGACACTGCCAAGTGTCTCCCAGAGGAAACCCCCCATCCCGTTGAGATCCACTGCTCTAACTGGTGGTTCTTTCCTTCCTTCCGGAAAGACACCCTGGATAGAAACACTAACTGCTACAGAGATATAAATTAGACTTAATAGGATCCTAATGAGAACTAGATAATCCAATTCCAAAATTCATATGGAAAAATAAACATTTAAGAACAGCCAGGAAAATTCTGGAAGTGGAGTGGAATATAATGAAGTATGCCACGTGTTAGCACATATTCTAAAGCTCAAGTCATTACAGTGGTTTGGGACTTGAAAGAGGGAGCACGAGGAGACTGCTCCTGTCAGGGACACGAGTCCCCTTGTGACACCAGCCGACAGTTCTCAGGCCTCCTCTGGTCTGGGCAGCACCTAACCCGTCACTCTCCCCTCCTCCCTGACCTTGGCTGGTGAAACATTCTGGGTCTTCTCAACCTGAGAACTAGTCCCTGCTCGACCCCTGACCGCTTCCTGGTGGGTGCCTCGCCCTGTGAACCCTCACTGTGATATCGGCTTAAGACAAAGTTGACATAAGGGAAGCCATATTGTAGAAAAGAAAAACTCTTTTGTAACTTAGAATGACCTCCCTCAAACTAACCCAGCTGGATCTGCACCCTCCAGGAGATCTAACTGCT